TTACCTCTTTTTACCTTTTCTAGTCGCATTTTTGCTTACCCTTAGATAGGAAAAGTAAAAAAAAAACACACATTAAAATGGATACACAGTTAAATCCTAATGTTGTCGTAGGTGTCAGCAAGGTGCAGCACATCTCCGACGAAACTATGCGTTTAACATCCGACGCAAACATTATAATCAAAGTGCGCTTCAGGAAGAGCTGAACTAGTCATATGGCAAAAATGGCAGACAGCAAATGCTTACAACAGTCGCACAGCGAGAGAGAACCAAACGTTATAAATGTTTTTCCGCACGAACAATTATTGCTGAACGCGATCAGACAAGGCGAGTAAATTCATGCGATTCGAGAAAATTCTGGGCTGACTCTTCATTCCCCAAAGCAGTTTATTACTTTTGTGTTAAATATTCCGTCTGTTGCTCGCCTTGCAGGCAACCACTGAGCATTACGTATGAATGCGCGGTTCCCATGAGGAAGTAAGTAACCCACTGGAGCATCTTGCTCCCAGTTGGCATATACAATCGAACAGGCGGTGGGTACTAAATGCAGTGCAGGATCGGAGAGCCTAACATAGCTGTAGCTGGTCTGTGAAATCATTCCATGAAGTAATATCACTAACAAGGAATGCCTACACTGATTGTCCGAACAATCTTGGTATGCGGCCTGGAGAATCTAATGTCGCACAGTGTTAAATTTAACTCAATTTTTGCAACTTCTCTATCCTGCCCACACGCTGCCGCTTTCTGGACACACAAAACTGGAAGCAAACATCCCAAAATGATAGACCGAGCGACCTGTTCGATGCTCAGTGAGCAGCTGCAGATTTATCGGATCCATTCCGAATGGCATCGGCAGGTAAATGCCGTTTACGTTGCTGATTTGACTTTTGTAGGCGCCTGATGCTTTGAAGGGATGCTCGAGCTGGGGCACCGCCGCATCCGTGTCGAAATGCTGAGATCGCTCCGCATAATGGAAGATGCCCTTCGGCACTTGCATTGTTTTTCCATCGCCCAAAGGTATCTGCAGTTTGCAAGCAAGATAATTTTGAACGCACTGCTGCGCCTCCTAACGAATTCGGTTGCATCACCCCGGACTTGGATGGGTAAAAAGAAATTCTCTCCTATCTAACTACATATTCGCCGTCCCCTGACAAATATTCATCCTACCTTGACTAGCTTTTGTCTGCCAGCGTTGCGGTGGGTTTACTCCACCACTCCTCACCGTTCTGGTCTTCACCCAAGTTCCACGCAATAATTGCGTACGACTACCCTCACCACGCCGGCAGCCTTCCCTGTGTTCGTTTAAAAATGCGCACAGAGCATCCAATAATCCTCGCTTATCCATCTGTTATCTCTCACTCTCGCCGCGTCCTCGAGCAGGCGTTAATCAGCTCAATCGTGCGAGAGCGCACCGTGGCACTTCACTAGGTGTGTGCTGCTGTAATTTGCTAACACTTACCATGCGTCGTTGCACGATAGCTTTTTCCTCCTCAGCAAAAGCTTTCTCATTGCGCAACACCACGGAACTGGCAAGTGCTTCTTTGCTGCTACGTCAGTGCTGGAAAAACCGCTCAGCAGTCTGGGCCC